CTTTTAAAATACATTATATAATAAGATGCGGCAAACTGTGTCACAGTCAGGTCAACTAAAAAGTAAAAATTTTGGGTTGAAAAACTATTGCCCTTGTAAAAGTGAGCTTCTTAAGAAACTAAGAGTTGTTACTGTATATTGTCTCTGTTCCTTTCTGGTCTATGTTACTTTTAGGCTCTCTCTTTGCTTAGAGGACCCCTTTCAATATTTCTTGTAGGGCTGGTTTCGTGTTTGCAAATTCTTTTAGTTTTTGTTTGTCCTGGAAGCTTTTTATCTCTCCTTCTATTTTCAATGACAGCCTGGCTGGATATAGTATTCTTGGCTGCATATTTTTCTCGTTTAGTGCTCTGAATATATCATGCCAGTCCTTTCTGGTCTGCCAGGTCTCCATGGATAGGTCTGTTGCCAATCTAATGTTTCTACCATTGTAGGTTACAGACTTCCTGTTCCAAGCTGCTTTCAGGATTTTCTCTTTGTCTCTAACACTTGTAAGTTTTACTATTAGATGTTGGGGTGTTGACCTATTTTTATTGATTTTGAGGGGGGTTCTCTGTGCCTCCTGGATTTTGATGCCTGTTTCCTTCCCCACATTAGGGAAGTTCTCTGCTATAATTTGCTCCAATATACCTTCTGCCCCTCTTTCTCTTTCTTCTTCTTCTGGGATCCCAATTATTCTAATATTGTTTCATCTTATGGTATCACTTATCTCTCGAGTTCTGCCCTCGTGATCCAGTGGTTATTTATCTCTCTTTTTCTCAGCGTCTTTATTTTCCATCATTTGGTCTTCTATATCACTAATTCTCTCTTCTGCCTCATTTTTCCTAGCAGTTAGAGCCTCCATTTTTTATTACACTTCACTAATAGCCTTTTTGATTTCGACTTGTTTAGATTTTAGTTCTTTTATTTCTCTAGAAAGGGTTTTTCTAATGTCTTTCATGCTTTTTTCAAGCCCAGCTAGTATCTTTAAAATCATCATTCTGAATTCTAGTTCCAACATCTTGCTAATGTCCGTATTGATTAGGTCCCCGGCAGTGGTACTGCCCCTTGTTCTTTTTTTTTGAGGTGATTTTTTTCCATCTTGTCATTTTGTCCAGAAGAGACTAGATGAATGAGAGAACAAAATGTGAACAGGGTAACAACGACCCCAGAAAAATATACACTAAACAAATCAGAAGAGACCTGAAACCAGGGGAAAAAAAAGGGAAAGAAAAGAAAAAAGAAAAAGAAAAAGAAAAAGAAAAAAAAAGAATATGATCAAATATGATCAGGCTGGTGAATAGATCAGTACCACACACCAGATTTTGGGCATATTTTGTTCTCTTAGAAGAAAATGCCTCCCAAAATTTTAAAAAAGAAAAACTTATATATGTACAAAAATAAGGGTTAATACAATAAAGGGATGGAATATATGACTGTAGAGATGAAAATTATAAAAGATTTTATAAAAGGAATTGGTAAGAAGTTGGTTGAAAAGGAAAGAAGAGAGATTAAAAAAAAAAGGAGAGAATGTGATCAGGCAGAAGACTAGAACAAAGCCATACACTAGAGATTTAGGGTATATTTTGTTAGAAGAAACTGTATCCCAAAATTTTAAAGAGAGAACAACTTATATATACCAAAAATAAGGTTAACTACAATGAAGAGATAGAATATGACTCTAAAAATGAAAAATAAAAAAGATTTTTTAAAAAGGGATTGATAAGATGTTGGTTGCACTGGGTGTTATACACAAATAATGAATCATGGAACACTACATCAAAAAAAAAGAAAGATGTTGGTTGAAAAAGGGAAACATTCAAATTCAAATAAAAATAGAAGGAGAGAAAAGAAAATTAAAAAAAATTAACTTTGAAAGACTAAAGAATCGGGGGAAAAAAAAGCCATGAATTCTATGTGCTGTATTCCCCTACTGCTGGAGTTCTGCTGTTCTCATTGATTGGTAAACTTGGTCCTGGCTGGCTGTTCTTGCTGATCTTCTGGGGGAGGGGCAGTGGTTCTCAAATGTCTTTGCCCCAGGAGGAATTGCCCCACCTTTGCCAGGGGCCGGGCTAAGTAATCTACTCGGGTTTGCTCTTGGTAGCTTTTGTTCCCTGCAAGCTTTCCATACACCACTAAAACAGGCACATAATTCAATGGAACAGAATAGAGAGCCCAGAAATGGACCCTCAGCTCTATGGTCAACGAATCTTTGACAAAACAAGAAAGAGTGTCCAATGGAAAAAAAGACAGTCTCTTCAACAAATGGTGTTGGGAAAATTGGACAGCCACATGCAGAAGAATTAAACTGGACCACTCCCTTACACCACACACAAAAGTAGACTCCAAATGGATGAAAGACCTAAATTTGAGACAGGAGTCCATCAAAATCCTAGAGATCACAGGCAGCAACCTCTTCGACCTCAGCCGCATCAACTTCTTCCTAGAAACATCGCCAAAGTCAAGGGAAGCAAGGGCAAAAATGAACTATTCAGACTTCATCAAGATGAAAAGCTTTTGCACAACAAAGCTTTTGTTGACAACAGTCAACAAAACCAAAAGATAACCGACAGAATGGGAGAAGATATTTGCAAATGACATATCAGATAAAGGGCTATTATCCAAAATCTATAAAGAACTTATCAGACTCTAAACCCAAAGAACAAACAATCCAATCAAGAACTGGGCAGAAGACATGAACAGACATTTTTCCAAAAAAGACATCCATATGGCCAACAGACACATGAAAAAGTGCTCAACATTGCTTGGTACCAGGGAAATCCAAATCAAAACCTCAATGAGTATCACCTCACACCAGTCAGAATGGCTAAAATTAACAAGTCAGGAAATGACAGCTATTGGCGAGGATGCGGAGAAAGGGGAACCCTCCTACACTGTTGGTGGGAATGAAAGCTGGTACAGCCACTCTGGAAAACAGTATGGAGGTTCCTCAAAAAGTTGGAAATAGAGCTACCGTACAACCCAGCAATTGCACTGTTGGATATATACCCCAAGGATACAAATGTAGTGATCTGAAGGGCTACATGCACCCCAGTGTTTATAGCAGCAATGTCCACAATAGCCAAACTATGGAAAGAGCCAAGATGTCCATCGACAGATGAATGGATACAGAAGAAAATTAAAAAAAATTATTTTTTTAAATTTTTTAATTAATTAATTAATTAATTCCATAAAATTATGGAATTTTATGCAGCCATCAAAAGGAACGAAATCTTGCCATTTGCAATGATGCAGATGGAACTAGAAGGTATTATGCTAAATGAAATAAGCCAATCAGAGAAAGACGTGCTATGTGCTATGGTGAGCGCTGTGAATTGTGTAAGACTGTTGAATCACAGACCTGTACCTCTGAAACAAATAATACATTATGTCTTAAAAAAAAAAAGATAGTAGGAAGGGAAAAATGAAGGGGGGTACATCGGAAGGGGAGACGAACGATGAGAGGCTATGGACTCTGAGAAACAAACTGAGGGTTCTAGAGGGGAGATGGGTTGGGGGGATGGGTTAGCCTGGTGATAGGTATTAAAGAGGTCATGTATTGAATGGAGCACTGGGTATTATACGCAAACAATGAATCATGGAACACTACATCAAAAACTAATGATGTAATGTATGGTGATTAACATAACATAATTAAAAAAAATAAACTAAGAGTTGTGGAATAAGTTACATCCCCCCAAAATAATCAGTATTTTTATCAATGGAAAATATCTTAACTAAATCAGGTATTATTCCTAATGTACACACAGGAGGTTTGTGAATTACTATAGGTACTCATCTTTCTTTAAAATAGTAATGATTGTTTAATTATGGTTCTATCATCTCCTGTTGGTGTGTCTCCTCTGGGAATATTCCATTTCAATTTTGGCAATTAGTATTTTTATTTGAATAGGAGTCAGTACCTAATGTTTTGCTGAAAATAAGAAACTCCCCTGACTCATCTAGAACATACATATTATTTTATTTTATTTTTTTATTACGTTCAGTTAGCCAACATATAGTACATCATTACTCTTTGATGTAGTGTTCAATGATTCATTAGTTGTGTATAACACCCAGTGCTCATCACAACACATGCCCTCCTTAATAGCCATCACCCAGCTACCCTATCCCTCTACCCCATCCCTTCTGTAACCCTCAGTTTGTTTCCAGGAAACATACATATTATTTTATAAAGCTGAAAACCCCCATTGATCACAACATATTTAGGGTGTACACAGTGACATAGTTTTTTTAACCTATGATAAGCTCAGGTACACTGTAGTTATGTCCTTCCTGCCACCTTCTGGTAATTGCATCTGTCTAATCTATGCATCCTTTATCTTCAGACTGGCCTAATGCAAAGAGGCAACTTCTCAGTGTTAGATATTTAACTTTATCAGCCAGCTGGTTATTCGGCTAGAACTAAGCTGCAGAAAGAGGATAAACTCTTGAGATATGGCTATGGTATAGAAGAGTTCAATTTATTCTTTCATTAAGCAAGTATTTTAGCAAATTTTCTTTTTTTTAAGACTTCTTTGCAAAGATTACTTTTTTTAAAAGATTTTATCTATTTATTTGACAGAGAGAGAGCACAAGTAGGCAGAACAGCAGGCAGAGGGAGAAATTTTCTTTTTTTAAAGATTTTATTAATTTATTTGAGAGAGAGAGCATGAGCAGGGGGGAGAGGCAGAGGGAGAGAGAGAAGCAGGCTCCTCACTGAGCAAGAGCCTGATGTAGGGCTCGATCCCAGGACCCTGGGATCATGACTTGAGCCGAAGGCAGATGCTTAACTGACTGAGCCCCCCAGGTGCCCTTAGCAAATTTTCATGCAAAGGTAAAAAGGTAGAAGATTCAACATTGTCAAGACATCAGTTCTTCCCAACTTGATCTATAGATTCAATACAATCCCAATCAAAATCCCAGCAAGTTATCTTATGTTATTTTGTGTGTTGACAAACCAATTCTAAAGTTTAGATGGAGAGGTAATAGAACCAAAATCACCAAAACAATATTAAAGGAGAGTGCTTGCTTTGGCAGCACATATACTAAAATCAGAATGATATGGAGAAGATTAGCATGACCCCTGTGCAAGGATGACACACAAATTTGTGAAGTGTTCCATATTATTACAGTACATTAAAGGATTATTCACCAAGGTTGGTTCAACATCTTCCAATCAATCAATGTGATACAATACATTAATAAAAGAAGAAGAACCATATGATCCTCTCAGTAGATGCAGAAAAAACATTTGACAAAGTACAACATCCTTTCCTGATTAAAACTCTTCACAGTGTAGGGCTAAAGGGTACATACCTCAATATCATAAAAGCCATCTATGAAAAACCCACAGGAAATATCATTCTCAATGGGGAAAAACAGAGCTTTTCCCCTAAGGTCAGGAACATGGCAGGTATGTCCACTATCAGCACTGTTATTCAACATAGTACTAGAAGTCGTAGCCTCAGCAATCAGACAACAAAAAGAAATAAAAGGCATCCGAATCGGCAAAGAAGAAGTCAAACTCTCACTCTTTGCAGATGATATGATACTTTATGTGGAAAACCCAAAAGACTCCACCCGAAAACTGCTAGAACTCATACAGGAGTTCAGTAAAGTGGCAGGATATAAAATCAATGCATAGAAATCACTGGCATTTATATATAACAACAACAAGACAGAAGAAAGAGAAATTAAGGAATCAATCCCATTTACAACTGCACCCCAAACCATAAGATACCTAGGAATAAATCTAATCAAAGAGGCAAAGAATCTGTACTCAGAAAACAACAGAATACTCATGAAAGAAATTGAGGAAGACACAAAGAAATGGAAAAACGTTCCATGCTCATGGATTCAAAGAACAAATATTGGGAAGATGTCAATGCTACCTAGAGCAATCTACACATTCAATGCAATCCCTATCAAAAAACCATCAACTTTTTTCACAGAAATGGAACAAATAATCCTAAAATTTGTATGGAACTATAAAAGACCCTGAAAAGCCAGAGGAATGTTGAAAAAGAAAAGCAAAGCTGGTGGCATCACAATTCCAGACTTCAAGCTGTATTACAAAGCTGTAATCATCAAGACGGTATGGTTCTGGCACAAAAACAGACATATAGATCAATGGAACAGAACAGAGAGCCAGAAATGCACCCTCAGCTCTAAGGTCAACTAATCTTTGACAAAACAGGAAAGAGTGTCCAATGGAAAAAAGACAGTCTCTTCAACAAATGGTTTTGGGAAAATTGGACAGCCACATGCAGAAGAATTAAACTGGACCATTTCCTTACACCACACACAAAAATAGAGTCAAAACGGTTGAAAGACCTAAATGTGAGACAGGAATCCATCAAAATCCTTGAAGAGAACACAGGCAGCAACGTCTTCGACCTTAGCCACATCAACTTCTTCCTAGAAACATCGCCAAAGGCAAGGGAAGCAAGGGCAAAAATGAACTATTGGGACTTCAAACAGATAAAAAGCTTCTGTACAACAAAGGAAACAGTCAACAAAACCAAAAGACAATGGACAGAATAGGAGAAGATACTTGCAAATGACATATCAGATAAAGGGCTAGTATCCAAAATCTATACAGAACTTATCAGACTCAACACCCCAAGAACAAATAATCCAATCAAGAAATGGGCAGAAGACATGAACAGACATTTCTCCAAAGAAGACATCCAAATGGCCAACAGACACATGAAAAAGTGCTCAGTATCACTCGGCACCAGGGCAATCCAAATCAAAACCTCAATGAGATATCACCTCACACCAGTCAGAATGGCTAAAATTAACAAGTCAGGAAACGACAGATGTTGGCAAGGATGCGGAGAAAGGGGAACCCTCCTACACTGTTGGTGGGAATGCAAGGTGGTGCAGCTATTCTGGAAAACAGTATGGAGGTTCCTCAAAAAGGTGAAACTAGAGCTACCCTATGACCCAGCAATTGCACTACTGGGTATTTACCCCAAAAATACAAATGTAGGGATCTGAAAGGGCATGTGCACCCCACTGTTTATAGCAGCAATGTCCACAATAGCCAAACTATGGAAAGAGTCAAGATGTCAATCAACAGATGAATAGATAAAGATGTGGTATATATATATATACAATAGAATATTATGCAGCTATCAAAAACCAGAAAACTTGCCATTTGCAATGATGTGGATGGAACTAGAGGGTATTATGCTGAGCGAAATAAGTCAATCAGAGAAAGACAAGTATCATATGATCTCACTGACATGAGGAATTTGAGAAACAAAACAGAGGATCATAGAGGAAGGAAGGGAAAAATGAAACAAGATGAAACCAGAGAGGGAGACAAACCATAAGAGACTCTTAATCTCAGGAAACAAACTGAGGGTTGCTGGAGCGGGGGGTGGTGGGGGTAGGAGGGATGGGGTGGCTGGGTGATGGACACTGGGGAGAGTATGTGCTATGGTGAGTGCTGTGAATTGTGTAAGACTGAGGAATCACAGACCTGGACCCCTGAAACAAATAATACATTATATGTTAATAAAAAAAAATGAGTCTCACCAAAATGAAAAAAAAAAACTACAGCATAATATTAAAGGAGAATAACAAATACAGAGGACTGACACCACCTGACTTCAAGACTTACTATAATGCTATAGTAAACAAGACAGTGTGATACTAGCAAAAGAAAAACAGAATAATGGAACAGAATAGAGAGCCCAGAAATAGACCCCCTTAAGTATAGTCAGCTGATCTTTACAAAGGAGCAAAGGCAGTACAATGGAGCAAAGATCATCTTTTCAACAAATGTTGCTGGAACAACTGGATATCCACATGCAAAATATGACTTTGGACATGGACTTTACAGTCTTCATAAAATGGATCACAGACCTAAATGTAAAATGCAAAACTACAAAACTCCTAGAAAGTAACATAGGAGAAAACCTAGGTGACCTTGTGTACATACAACACCAAAGGCACAAAGGCACAATCCTGGAGAAAATAACTGATAAGCTGGATTTCATTAAAATAAAAGTTCCTGCTCTGAAAAACAGTATCAAGAGAATTAAAAGGCAAGTCATAGAATGGGAGAAAATATTTGCAAAAGATATATTTGATAAAGAACTAGTATCTAAAATATAAAAAGAACTCTTAAAATTCAACAACAAGAAAACAACCCAATTAAAAAAAGGGCAAAAGATAAAGAAGATATACAGATGGCAGATAAGCACATGAAAAGATGTTCAACATGTCATGTCATTAGGGAATTGCAAATCAAAACAAGAAAATATCACTACACATCTATTAGAATGGTTCAAATCCAGAACACTGGCAACACGAAGTGCTGGTGAGGAGTATGGAGCAACTGGAAATCTTATTCAATGCTAGTGGGAATGCGAAAATGCTACAGCTACTTTCAAAGACAGGTTGACAATTTCTTACAAAATTAAACATACTCATAGCATATGATCCAGCAATCACTCTCCTTACAAATGACTTCAGGACTAGTCCAGTATCTTTATTATTCTTAGAATTTGTTTATTTATTTTTTTAAAGATTTTATTTATTTATTTATTTGAGAGAGTGAGAATGGACAGAGCGCACATGAGAGGGGGGAGGGTCAGAGGGAGAAGCAGACCCCCTGCTGAGCAGGGAGCCCGATGTGGGACTCGATCCTGGGACTCCAGGATCATGACCTGAGCTGAAGGCAGTCACTTAACCAACTGAGCCACCCAGGAACCCTATTCTTAGAATTTACAACTGATATATTTGTGTGTGATTTTTACTGATAATTTTTGTATAGTTTTAGGGATTAATATCCCATGAGTAGTAGTCCAGTAAAAGAAATTACTTATTTGTTGAACACCTACTACTTTCCAGATACTGGGCAGATATGTTTTACATATCTTTCACCTTCACAATAACGTATAGGTAACTGCTTTTCATGCCAAAAACCAAATCAAGAAAATGAAGTTAAGCAGTTACACTACTTGCCAATGATAATAAATGATGGTATTTGGATCCTAACATCTTCATCCACAGCACAGTGGTCATCTGCATTCTCCTCATCATTGGAATATACATATAATAGTTCAACTCTGCCAAGGCATCTGTCAAGTTCTTTACTTGAATTACCTCTTTTAATACTATCATAACACGCTGAGATGGTTAATATAATTATCCATGTAAGGGCATATTTTTAGAGAGATTGAGTATATTATTTTGTTATTGTGGTAAAATATGTACATCATAATACTTACCAGTTTAACCATTTTTAAGTATATGGTTCAGTGGCGTTAAGTATACTCACATTGTTGTGTAATCATCACCACTATTGATCTCCAGATCTTTTTAATATTCCCAAACTGAAGTTACAGTGGTTTTTAATATTGGGAATATGATATGGTCCTCCTCCATTTATGGCCCACTAAATTTAAAATAATAATAATAATAATAATAATAAATGTGTTAATGTGAGCCACAAGGTTCTGCTTTGTCTAATTGCTGCTGGCCTATCACATGCTTTTCTGTGTCTAACATATGCATTTCTCAGAGTGGAACCTAAACATTCCTTAAAGAAGTTGTCTCTCAATCCACAAGTGAAATCAGGTTTTCCTATTGCACTTTCATAGTTCCCTGTGCCTTTCTTTCATTACAAGTGTTGCATTTTATGATTAAACAATGATCAGTGCATGATGCCCCCATTGGTCTATAAGCTTCAAAAGGGAAAGCTCCAGAAGCTACCACCTGCCTTTACACAGGAAATGCTCAATGAACACTTTTTAAATCCTTGAATGGATAAATGCCTTTAGAGTATAATTATTTCATTGACCTAAAAATAATAATTATGTACTATTGTACAACACCTGAAGGAATAAACTGAAGAGACTGAAAAGAGAAGGAAGAATATACCTGTTGCCCTGTTCTCTTTCCTCAATCACATTCTAACTGTACTGTCATATTTAACTGTCTTGGTAATTTCGTTTTGTTTTAAATCACTCATAGCATCCACTATCTTTGTCTTTTCCTCTTCACATTGTGGCTAAAATCCATTCAGTGAGGGTCCATCATCCCAATTACAAGTCTAGCCACTTCTCCTCAACCTTTGAAAAAAATCTCTCTAGTTTATTTGTAAATAAATTA